GACTATAGCGATCTAATAATAAACATTCTCTTTATAACCGTGGGAAGGATTTCTAGAAAATTCAGATTACGTAACAATACAATTTAAGTGTTTACATACATACATATATTGTTGATTCTTTCTCTCGAGAATCTTCTACAACTTTGGAGAATAGGCGGGAGTTTCGCAATACATATTTAACAGTGCAAGCTATGCATGTTTTTAAATATAAACTTAATCTAAACAGCTTCGATATTAAAATAAATATAGAATAACAAATTCGTTACATGGACTACTCTTTTACCAACGAGTAGTGGGATTGACCGTCACATAATAACGCCTCCACTGCTGAAATGGCGAGCAAATTTGGTAAGACAGGAATTCGAACCCGGGACCCTCAGATTGCAAGTTGAGCACCCTAACCACCTGGCCACACACCCCGCCCCTCCCCACTCAGATGATATTAAATAAATTTGACTTTTGATATTTTCCAAGAGTTTTATCTATTTTTCCAACTTACCATTTCATACGGCAATCCCTTAGTGTTATCAAACTGTGAAAACCTTCCTTGTCAATAATAGGGTGAAAGAAGAAAGTTGAAATAAGAAGACAATGGGTAGAGGTTGGATTACACATCTGTGATTTTGAATTCGTTTTCTATAGAAAAATTTTATATATATTGTGTCTGAGTCATTACTTGCACGAACATTTACTCGTTCTTCTTTGGTCTGGACAATGCAATACATACTAGTTTTATTTTTATATAAAGGACGAGTTAAAAACTCTGGATTAATAATATTAACAGCCCTTTTACAATTTTTTACTGACACACCACACAAACTTAAGGTTCAAATAATTTCATTAAAAATGGTTTAAAACCTCTCATAATGGTTTCTCCAGTGACTACTGTGAAAAGTGACCTGTAACAGTAGCCACTGAGAAAGACACTAGACTGTATCGGATTGCATGGCAGGTTTTTAACCTTCAATTTTAATGGAACTGTTTTAACATTTTGAGTTTTAAACCTAATTTTATCTGGTGTGACAATAATAAAAGATGTTATTATTACTTGTTTTATGTTTTCAGTTTAGTTATCATTCATATTTTAATGTTTCCTACATATTTTCTCGTTTTCTTCATTATACCTTTTTAATCTGGGGTTCCTCTTATTTATTTCTGAACTTTGTTACGAAGTATTTCTTTACGTTTGTATTCTCGTTTTACTTGTCCATGTATATATATATATATATATATGAATCTGTCTTTTTTTATTTGACATAACTCGCACCACGCCTTTTCTTCCACTCTTAAGCTTTCTCAGCTTCTAGTAAACCAATTTAAACTCAAGTTTTATCTGAGTAAAATGGCCATTTCTCTAAGGTGGACCCCCCCCCCCCAGTGGCACAGCGTTATGTCTGCGGACTTATAACGCTAGAATTCGGGTTTCGATACCCGTGGTGGGCAGAGCACAGATAGCCCACTGTGCAGCTTTGTGCTTAATTACAAACAACAACAACTCTTAGGTGGCTGGATGCAGCGCAACAAACATCTTAGTGGTGGCTTATGTGAGATTTGGTATCTACATTTGATAACGTTGTCTGGACATACTCATATGACTGAAACAGCCATAGAAATAGTCAGTGCAGATTTATCGTTAAAATGAAATTAAATTTATTTAGTAGAATTATACCTTGTCCGTCATTTCGAAACATTGTTTGCATGAACGAATGATCCATCAGTGCAATAACGAAGAAGATAAACCTTTAGACCGATATACATTAACAAACAATTAAATTATGAGCGCAAGCCGGAGAAATATATTATTCGTTTGATGTATTATTGGATATGTTTTGAAATAATTCCCTTGCAGTTTTAATTGATTCGAGGGGTTATTGCCCGTTACACAGGTAAGAGTCAATTATTGGAGAATGACGTCGTTAATTAAGTTTCTGATTGTTTATTTGCTTCAGTCGGCTCGAACCCGTGGCTTTTAAGTGCAATAGAACAAAATACACGGTTAATGTTAGAAAAGTGATAATTATATTGTAAATAATAAAGTGTAGAAAACATTGAAATTAAAATATCGTCAGTGAGTTGAATTACTATAAAAACTTGACCTCATTTTTTAACAAAGAAAACAACCTAGTCGCTAAAATGCCATATTGTAAAAAAACAAACAAAACAATATGATAATATCTTTACTATATCGAGGAAAGGTGAAATGATCGATTGAATTCCACAAAAGGGGGCCCCCCAGTAGCACAGCGGTATGTCCACAGACTTACAATGCTAGAAACCGGGTTTCGATACCCCTGGTGGGCAAGACCACAAATAGCTCTTGGTGAAGCTTTGTGCTTAATACCAAACAACATCAGATCATAGAATTTTTACAGCATGCCAGTTGCAACAGGCATAGTAAACTAAGTTAAATGGTTAAGGTGAATGCTCCTATGGTTAGTATTTTTACATCTACGAAATAGCTCTAAAATTGACAATGAACCTACGAATTCTTTATAACATAAAAAATAATTCTGTAACTCACGTAAATATTCACAATGACTGATAAAAATGTCACTTCTAATCAAAGGTTTTTAGACATAAACTTACAAGCAAAAGCTATAATACAAAGGTAGTTTTTATATAAAACATTCGATATAGTAGTAAATTGGTTTGGTTTCATTTATCAAATGCTTTCTAACGGATATAACAGTGATTATAACTCTTCTGATTGAATTATATTACGTTTTGCTATAAAATGTTTTTACAAATTCCCCCAAAGTCAACTTTTAAGACTCTAATTCTTTGATTAAAATTTATTACAAGACATGATATAACGTTAACTGAATAATTCTGGGTTTGATGTTGGATTTGAAGACAAGCACAAAGCTACACAATGGACTATCTGTGCTCTGCCCACCACT